CTTGAAAACTGATTTGTGGATCATGAGATCTGCGCAACATGATCGACAAAACCTGGCACAGATTTTTTGTTTGCACTCGAGATTAACAAAGCCACGTTTTATTGCTACATTAACATTTATATTAATTTTTCAATGGCACTCTTCTTGAAAAGAAGCCTATGGCCGTATGCTGTCATTATATTCCTTATATTAGTGATTTATAGTGGAACATTCCTTTTCCAAGAATCATTTTATCCTATTGTTAACTTTAATTTCAAGGAATTAAGTCATTCAAAGCGTACTACCCTTGGCTTTAGTCATATTTATGTTGTTAATCTTGAGTATAGAATAGATAGACATGAAAAAATGGAAGTTTTAGGAAAGTATCTTGGTTTGGATTTAGATTTTTTTAAGGCCGTTAGTAGACTTAGTAAAAGTAATTTAACTGTAGGTGCTAAAGCTTGTTATCTAAGTCACTATAGAATCTTCGAATCAATTGTTAAGAATGGATATGAAAATGCTTTAATTCTTGAAGATGACGTGGATATGGAAGTTAATATTACCGATATTATGACTGAAGTTCATCATAATTTACCTAATGATTGGGATATGTTGTACCTTGGTCATTGTGATGAGTGGGACAGCAATTATTTCAAAACCAATTTAACCGTTCATATACTCCATACAACGGGACATCCAAAATGTACACACGCTTATGCCGTTTCAGCTAAAGGTGCCAAGAAGTTAATAGAAAAACTTAATATAGATAACCCAAAAGATCATCTTGATAAGGTGTGAATGATCTATCGGATGTTTCGCCCGAGTGGGGGGTAGGTGAAACTTATCCTTTAATGAATTCTACCTTACGTTTTCTTGGGTATGATCCAAGTAAACCAGATTTATAAACCCTTTTTACTGCATTCATTTAACAATCGATTCTAAACAATTTATTATCCTTAAGTTTATTATATGTATATGTAGTAGTGGTTTGAGAAAATAAGTCCATTGAAATAGTATATATAGATTTTTTTAATTCTGCGATACGGTTAATTATTTATGAAGACGGGTATTACGAACATCTCAAAGAAAAATTAGATAATAATAGCATCATAATGCAAGAGAATTGTAACCAATTAACATTTAAAATCAAATGTAACATCTAGATCATCCTTTATATAACAAAATAATGAATTTTAAAAGAAAAATTCCTTGTAAAATTTTACTAGTGTCTATTCACGATGATCATCAATTAGAATTTTTTTCTTCGGCAGCATTAGAAAGTACTGATATTTATGCCTTGCCAAACTCTAACCTTGACTCTAATCTAACCCTAATTTAAAGTTTCGTTTTTGTAAAGAAAAGATTGTTTTGATTTACATGTTTCACCAATCTTGTGGTTACATATAGAGTACGTAGCACTACGGTGTTATTGTTTTCCTAATAAAGTTTTTCTCATAAAATTTCAATGGTGGTTTAAAAGAAAACTGATTATGAAGTTAGTCTATTTTTTTACGATTTTTACTATATTGTTTATAAAAAATAAAAGGATGCTTAAAGCCGGGTACATCACGAAATTACTATTAATGTTCAGATTAGGGTTAGATTAGAGCCTGAATAGGTTAATGT